TATATATAAAGTGTTTTTCCCACGGTACACCTTACACTATGTCACGGCACACTAGTGTGCCGCGGCACAGTGGTTGAAAAACACTGCCTTAAACACTCTCCCCAAAAGAACATTGATACTGTATGTCTGGTTCTGGGAACTCTGTTAAGGGCCTGGAACAGTAAATCAGATATGTTGCCTACCTCAGCTCTACTCTATGTTGCAGGGCCTCTTTGTAACAATTATATCAGCAAAACCAATCACACACAAAAATCACAAAACCCACAAAATCTCTGGTTCCATATTCATTTCAAAAAGTTTCCAATTTTACATTTTTACTCAAGTTCTACCATAGTGGCGAGGGCGGAATTCATAGTTTCCCTGCTCAGATTATTTTAAGCTTAATTTAAAAGTATCCTTGCAGTTTATATATTACATTTACTGTATGGCCTTTTTTGCATGCTAAAGTACCTATTGCTCATCGTAGGTTGCAGCACTTTCCCTCCCTCTCAAATATGGCTCATTTTGACTAAAGAACATTTTCTCTTTTCAGTCTTTTTTCAGCAAACAGCATGGAAGAAATTGTCCAAAACCTGAAGAAGGATGGATCTCCTTTTGCACTTGACCAATTAAAGGTAACGTTGCATTCGATTTTTATCCTATTTGAAGGATGTCTATATCCAATCATTTTAAGCAGCATTTTGATGCCTGATGCAATTGCCTTAGCAAAGGAGGACAACCTGTAGCCTGCACATGGCCTTTTAAGATACTTTTATATTAACCTGAAAGCCATTTTCCAAACTGTGACATAAAGTGACTTAATATAGTTTTTGGTGCCTATTTGTCATTTAAAAAGTTCAAGAACAGATACTCATACATTGGCTGCTGCATTTTGCAGTTACGTTTCATGTCATGAAACTGCCCACCTTCCAAACTGTGGCTACAGAAAAAGGTTACAGCTATATCTTGCCTTTGGATCTTTTATGATGCCTTTCTATTAAAATTGTCTCCAGCCTTAAAATCCAGCAATATTCATTCTGATTCCCTCCTTCATAGCGCAAATTCTCCACTGAATGGTGAATGTCTTTCCTACATAGCTTGTCTTGTTCTTCTTCTACCTTCTGCTTCTTTCCATAGTAGAGCACTTTCTCTCTCCCTCCTTCCCTCCATCCTCCCCTCCCTCGCGCTCTCTCCCCTTTTTGTCTCTCTGTTTGTGTACTTGCATGACTGTCTACCTACCTATCTGGTTGGGTTCCTTTCTGAAGAGCCGAGGTGGCGCAGTGGTTAGGGTGCAGAGCCTTTAAGAGCCGAGGTGGCGCAGTGGTTAGGGTGCAG